TTAAATTGGAAAATTAACTGCAACGATCATTCTTCACTTTCAAAAATCTACATCTTGGAAAGTGCTGGAAAATGTTTTGAGCCACACTTTCAATTTGACAACAACAACAACAAAAACCTTTATTAACGTGTTGGGGGTATTTAGCATTGCTGCTAATTGAAGAAAATAACTAAGGCAATTAATAGGTGCAAATTACTTTGCAGAGCCACGTGAAACTATGACCTTCTTCACTCCAACAGTTGACTGTATTGTGAAACTGGCCACAAGCAAGTTGACCGGATACATGTGACATATTCAACCTGTCTAACGAGACACCAGAAGTTTGGTGTTATGATAATGATATTGCAAAGTTTGCACGGTGTTACTTATCACATTTCTGTGGGAATCGTTCAGCACTGAAAACATGAATGCACTTTTCCCAATAGGAGGACTGGGATAAGGAGAAGTAGTAAATCACCAGTTTTTTTGTTAAGACAGTAGTATTTATTGTTTCCCTCACTCTTTTGTTCAGTTGCAATGTCCGCCTATGTGAAGAATAATAATTTTGTTGCAGCAACATGACCATGCCTTTCAAAAATATGTTTGTTAGACATGAAGGCAGTGTTTAGCCTAGGAGAACTGACTTATTTATGCAGAGTTTTGATCTACCTCAGGATAGTCTTCAGTTTACAACAAGTTAATGGTGGACAAACTCATCAATAAAAAAGTTTGGTCAAGTGGTGGTTTGTATTTCGAGTTTGCAGTTAAGCCAAAATGGCAAGAACAAACAGGCCTGAGTTAAGTTTAGAATGACTTGAGATCTATCTCCGTTATTGCAGTGATCACATGGAAACCGGTAGTCGTAAGGATTGCTCAACACTTTTGTGGCAATCACATGGCACCATTCATTTGGAAACAAGTTGTACTTGGAAAAGCTTGTAAATCACTCGCCTAATGGATTGCTTGCATTCTCCCATGCCTTCATATCAATTCAGCATGGGAGCTTCACTCTTTCATCAGTTCATAAACCTTGTGACAGCCAGTATGATCACAGGTTGCTATGAAACTCTTCAAATGCAAATTTTGCAACGGTATACTGAAACTGGCCTGACAAAGTCAAGTCTTGCACTGAGAACTATTCCTCGTAGCTGACAATCAATATAGTTTACAGATCATAATTATCTCTCTTTGTCATGTGCAGTGAAAGAGGAACTGATTAGACTTCGTCCAAAAAAAGATGAAACATATTACTTTTTTGCTTGGCTTTTGATCAGGAGTACCTACTGTATCTGCACTAACAGTTATCAGACAGATGGAATTTAACAGATAGTTTTACACATATCAAATTTAATACCTGAAGCCATCAAGGATGCTTCCTCCCTACAGCTTTTTAGACAAAAACTTAGACAGGCCTCAAGGATACTAGAACAAATTCAATTTGAAAAAGAAGCCTGTCAGATAACATCAAAACAAACGGACTTCCCATATTTTTAAATTTTTGTAAATTTTTGTAAATTAAGTACTAAATTTTTGTTATAAATAGTTTTTTAATTAAGTTTCTGGCAGGTCCCCACCAGCCTTTAGGTTGCCTCAAACCAACCTGCCTCAACAAAAAGTATATGTATGTATGTATGTACGTACGTACGTACAACTTCCTTTTAACAATTCTGTATATTAATTTTTTTTATTTGAAAATTCCCTTCTATATTCTGTTCAAGCTCAGATTGGCTGCATAACTATTTCAGACATGCTAAATAATAGTAAAGTCTCTCTATACGAGCCAAGTGGCCCATCAGGCCGGAGCTTATCCCAGTTTCCGTAGCATGAAGCAACTAGGAGTATTTCTACTCCCCCCTGGATGGGATGCTAGTCCATCGCAGGGTTACCCCCAGCATTAAGTTCGCCGGTACCCATTTATACACCTGGGTAGAGAGAGGCACTGTGAGAGTAAAGTGTTCTGCCCAAGTACACAACAACACAATGTCCCCAGCCAGGGCTCGAACTTGGACCGCTTGATCCGGAGACAAGCATACTAACCATGAGGCCACCGTGCCTCCTGCATGCTAAATGATACCAGACATAAATAATTGCTGTTTCTTTCAGACACCTGTTTCAAACGGTGTCAAATGTTTCTTCTCAAACTCGTTAATAATTTCTTCAAACAAAAGAAATCATGATGGTGATGGTGTTTGGATATCTGATCAGATTTAGCTTTAGATTTTTTCCATTTTGTATCTTTGTTTTCTCTTTAGTTTTAGGTTAGATTGAGAAGATATAATTATGAAAGACTCAAGACCATGTTTGATCATATTTCACAGTATTGCAAATGTTACTCAAGTTTGATAGTTAAGGAGGTGCAATGCACATTTTCGGTCTGAGGATTTCCTAGGTTAGAAATTTTGTTGAGGCTTTTCTTGGGTGAGAGATTTTGGTACAAACGTTTTTGGGCCCACTTGATAACGAATGTAGCCTACACTACTCATTTCTATGTCAAACAGCTGGGAGTTAACGTTACTATGTATTTTGGGGGCCATTGGATTTTCTTGGGTATGGTTTTTACCTAATAACATGTTTTTGCATCTAGTCACTTATAAATGTGAGACTATTAGCCTTTTCTCTTGTAAAAGCCCCTTCAAAATAACTCACCCACAAGCATTTCAAAAAGAAACACCCCTGTAACTATGCTAAAATTGCAACAAACTTTAAAGATATATTTCTTCTTCACAATTCTTTAAGTTCTGATTAATTTCCTGACTTGTCACTGATCTTGTTACATGAACATTGATTAAGGTGTCATGCAGTTGCAGTAATGGACAGGGCCTTTTCAGCTATACAATTAACATCTGAAACCTGGGCATTTATCGAGTCAGTAATAAATAATCATTTGTTAACTCCATTTGTTAAGTAGCTCATACTAATAATAAGCACAACATGGATCAAATAATGATCTCTAGTCATCAATGTCTCAACCAGTTCTGTCCAGGAGAGCTTTAATGCAGTAGCTAGCAGCACTTCCACCAGCCATTCCAAGAGTCATGCTTAACACGCTCAAATAGCCCACAGTCTCTTTAGCTCTCCCAGGGACTTCAGAGGAGGCATAAGAGATCAGAGATGTTGTCAGATGACCAGTTGAGAGGCCAAGTATTGCTACAAACATTGCCATCCAAGCAGGTCTGTCACTCATCATGTGAGGTGGTACACTCAGACAGATGCCAGCAATAACTAAGAAGCGTACTAAAGTAGAAAGCCATGCCCAGTGCAGAGAATACACATAGTACATTGCTAAAGGTCCTCGGCCAAGAACATCACCAATATTGTAAACTAGAATCAACAACACTGGGAACCAACCACTGCCAAGGAAGTCTGTTGCCATAGTAGCCACCGATGGCATTACAGCATACTGTTGAGCAGTTACCAGTGTTAATAGAAAGCAGTGACAGAAGACATGTTTGTAACGTAGTACCCGCAGAGCTTCACCAGTGAAAAATGCAAAGCGCTGAAAAGGATGTTTCCAGTCAGTATCCACACCACTTCTTGGAGCTCGAGAGTAGTAACGCTGGAGTGCAGTACCTCTACTAAGCTGAAAATAAACAGCTATCACCAGCAAAATAAACAGGGCTGCTGTTCCAAAGTAGTAATAACTTGAGACATGAAGATTTTTAGTGGTAGTCTTGGTCAAAACTCTTAAGAATGTCATCAGAAGACCACACAAGCCCACGCCAAGCTGTTGAAATAATAAGAAAAATGGTTAACTTTTAACTTGGACAGACTTTTAAGCTAACCCAGGAATAGCAAGAATTTTGATTTCAGTTTTGTAACTTTTTGGTGAGGTTCTCTGTTCATATTGTTTGAGTTTTGAGTTTGAGTTTTGAATGATCTTAAACTGCACAATACATAACCAATGAAAGACATCTTTATACAAGAAAAATTGATATTTTGGTTAACTTTTAATCCTGGGCTAGCACTAACTGGCTTTCGAAAAACCCTGGCCCAGATTGTCTAAAACCTCACTTGAAATTGAGCCCTGCTTTGTAACTTTCTCTTCCAAAAATGATGCCCACAGGTTTTTTCTGCTCTTGCTCTCATTTAGAAAGGTGAAAATTTTTGAGGAAAAGTACCAATGGTGGTAAAGGCATGTTTTGCAAGACCTTTTCTTGTTTTATCAGCTGCTTTTCAGAAACATGTTCTGTTGTGAAAAGTGATGATGTCACAAGTTGTACAAGTAGCATGGTTCAACAGCACAGAGAAATACATGCTGGAGAGTGAAAGGGTTTTAACCCTTTCACTGTTTGTGCTTAAAAGCACAAACCCAGAATTAACTTCTAGTTTAGGAAGTTTTTAAGTTACAAAAAAACTATAACACCTTATTTGTAGATGGAGAACAATAAAAATGCTTGCTTTAGCATACGAACATAATACAATCCAAGTATGTCAACAAATGCAAACCAAAAGTGAGTATGTCACTTTATATATCCGAACATTACTAATCAAACATTTGATTAAGTCCATTTGATTGAACATCTCCAAAGCTAACATGCATAAGCTTCAATTAGTGCAAAACTTTGTAGTAAGGACTATTCTATGACTTGGAAAATATGACCATAATATAAGAGAGACCCTAAAGACAGCTGGATGGCTTAGTGTTGAAGACAGACTAGAGACCAATGAACTAATAATAATAAATTTCAAAAGAGATCGGTAGAAACTATTATAGAGTAACGCAATCTGTAAATAATCTAAATACTCCATTTTTCGCTTAGCGACTGGTCAACATTGTTTTGCTTAAAGAGGGGTTAAAATTTGGGATGGCCTAGGCAATGACTTCAAGACTATAACTAGGTTAGATGTATTTAAGGTGGCTGAACACAGTTTTTGATAACAGTCTCTCATTTACCTTTTCCTCTAACACCATTAATCCTTTGGTCGCCAAAACTGGCAACACCTAACTTAATAACACAAACTTCAGTTTTTTTATAGTTAAGCTGACATATGTGCCGTTGCTATGGCAACATGAATTAAAAAAGGCCTTTAAAATTGGTATTGTTTATTTGCAGAAAATCTAGTCATAAGATTTTCTTTATCATATGCAAGCAACTAGCTTGTAACGATGCTCACAAGTTAACACTATCTTAATAGTTTAACAGAGAGATCTTTAATTATCCCTTGTAGAAGGTTGACTGGAATATCTAGAAATTCCTTTATTAAATTTCAATTTTTTTTCAATACAGTATTTTTGTGCCAAATTTCATGAAATTCTAATGAGTTGTTCTGGTCTGGGCTACTGTTACACTACCACGTCATTGTTGAACACCATGCTTCACCCTGTGTTTAGGCTATCATCTACCTGGAAGTTCTTTCATGAGGAATGTGAACATCTTAAAGAGACCTTTGCCTGACTGTGCTACCCTGAAAATCTTGTGCAGTCTACCATCTGCAAATTCATTGATTCAAAAGTGTCTGAAGATTCACATACCCAAGTATCTGAGATGAGAGAAGCTCCAATTAGAATCATGCTGCCTTTTAAAGACCAGAAATCTGCAAATGCAGTACACAGATAGCTTGGCAACCTCAGTCGAAAGATCAATGCAGATATTAGCCCGGTTTACACAAGTTGAAAGATCAAGGACAAAATCAAAGTGAGGGAAGACAAACCACCACTAATGAATCAGCAGCCATGTGTTGTGTATTGTTTTACGTGTGACCTGTGATGCAGGTTATGTCGGCTATACTTGCCAACACCTACACCAACGAATTGAACACAAAGGATCGGCAGTTGGACACCACCTTAGGGAGCAACATGATAAGCCGGTTATTTTCGACATGTTTTTATCAAACAACTAAAACCAACACTGAACAAACAGTGTGATTCAATGTGCACTAAATTATTTGTTTAGATCAGTTCCTTACACTTACTAGTATTGTTTTATTGTCTCGTTGTTGTACGTCCCTTTTTAAAATTTGGCAAATATTTTTTTACTTGTCTTGCATATTTTATTGCATTCTACCGTTCGTGACATTTTTAAGTATTTTTACTGTTAGAAACATATTTATGCAAGTGTCGCAAAATCATTCCTACATTCACAGGCAGCCCAAGCTCTCTCTATGAACCACACAAGCAACACAATATGGCATCGAATTATAGGGGTTTATATGGGATTTTCTACAAGATATCCTTGGAGGTAGTTAAAAGTGAAAATTCTCAATAAAAATGGCTTACCTTGTTCCATACGTGTGTTGTTTG